TAATAATAAAAACTGATCACAGTGGGATGGTGCAAATTCATTATAGTACCCTTGCCTCAATTGGAGAAAATTGGTTTCACAGTCCAGTGATTGTGAAGCAAATGCTGTTTCTGACGCTGCTGTTTGTAAGAGAGATACTTCTAGTGGAATGGGAAAAAGAAAAAAATACAGATAATAGAAAATACATCCACTGTAAATAAAGCAGAACGTCTACATCTGTAGCAGCATACTAGGAAAAAGTAACAATACTGATTACCACCATCCCCATGCCTGTCAGCTGTTGAGACTAGCTGCAGTAATTGTAATAATAAGTTCTTTCTGCAAAGCTGTATAACCCCCAGAACAGCCCCGCATATGGGATTGCACTGGAATCCAATAATGTATGGTTGGCAGTGGTAAAACATATTGATACTGACCGTCTGCATACTGAGAGGAGAGAGTTGAGGTGAGGTCAATGACACACACCAAAGAGAGATGGGTTAAAGAGTAACAGAAATTAGGAGAAGAAGTGGAGAGGAAAAGAGGAGGAAAAAGAAGCCAGAGAGTGAAGAGCAACACTGACCAGAATTCCTAGGCTCGTGGAGAAGAAAGGTGAGGTGAAGTCAATCACCTGGCTCCTAGCTGAATTAATGCTAAAAGATGTCACTGCCAGGTGGGCAGCACCACTGAGAAGATCACCCACCAATCCTGTCCAACGACCATTCTTAAACCCCCCGTATTTCCCATCACCAACAATGTAGAGATCGAAAGTAAAGCCCATGTCCTCCCCCAGCTTCTCCAATAGATCAATGCAGTAGCCATAGCAGCATTTCTTTAGATCTGTGGGAACAGATCCATTGGTTCCTCTGAGGTTATGGAAAAGTCCTTCCAAAACTGAGGAGTCATTGGTAAGCGGGTCCAGGCACAGCTGCCCGGCAGGACATAACCCATCCGAATCCACTTCACGGGTAAATACAAATGGGTGCTCCACCAGTGTCACTACTCGCATGTGCAACCGTGGAGGTCGGCGCCAATCGCCACCTCCTCCAGAACCTGGATGGTTTGGCCAGGCTGCTGGGTCCATCAGAATTCTCCCCCTGCGCCAGCGTCCCAGGCGGGTCCAGGTTGGCTGGCCTAAGGGATCCAGCTGGAGGGACCAGATGTAGTGATGGGCTTCTGAGATGACATTCTGGCTCTGACTGTTGCTGGATATGAAACCGCTCTGGCCCTCAAATGATGTGTTGGCTACAAATCTGAGGAGAATGAAGAGAAAGAGAAAACAAGAAGTGTCAGGGAAAAAAAAAGAGCGAGGAACATTGTGAAGAAGCTTGGAAGAGAAAAAAGGCGAGCAGAAGGGTACACACAGTTTTACTGGACACATGCTTAATCTCAAACATCATTACAATTTTGGGAACATTTTTTAACAATATACTTAGTATGTTTGCAAAGAGTGATACCCAGTCAAAAGTCAATCAAAAATCAAACTCTGGGCTCAGTGCATACAGATGTTCAGTATAATAGCACATTTTATCCCCTGTAGACAACATTCTTACAGGAAGTCTCAAGAGAACAGGTTTGTAATCTAATTTGATTTGTTTGTCTAAACTGAACACAAGTCTATCTCTTTTGCGCACTAATACTAATGCAGTTAAATGCTAGATCTTAAAGGTTTTGTGTTTCTCTGAGAAATCAGCCC